GGGGATGAGAGAGTTATGGGTAAGAACCAAGAGGGAGGTTAGGGTTGAAAATGGAGTTGGGGCCCGACCTGCATGGCTCAGTGGTTGAGCGTCCATCTGTGAACCAGGAGGTCACGGTTCAATTCCCGGTCAAGGGCACATGCCCAGGTTGTGGGCTCCATCCCCAGTGTGGGGCGTGCAGGAGGCAGCCCATCCATGGTTCTCTCTCATCATTGATGTTTCTCTCTCTCCCTCTCCCTTCCTCTCTCAAATCAATAAAATTATATATTAAAAAATCAATAAAAACATATTTAAAGAAAAAGAAAACGGATTTGGGGATGGTTGGGGTGGGCATAGGGAACCGGAGATGGAGATGGGTTTGGGGCAGCAGAGGGCACGGGCAGGGGGTGGGGGTAGAGCTGGGCTGAGACTGGGAGAGGGGAAGGTGCCCGGCGCCGCGTGAGGGAAGAGGTGGGGGTGGTGGGTGTCGATTAGAAGACACAGTGGAGGTTGGAGACCCAGGCCCTGCCCTCTGACCTGGCAGGAGTCCTTGCCTTCCTCCCGCACGCTGGCGCACACCATGGTGTCCGTGATGTTGCCCGGGTAGGCGTTCTCACACTCCTTGTGATCGATGATGGTGATGTTGGCACATCGCAAGGTCTGGGGCAGGCGCACTGTGCAAACGGAAGGGAGGGGTGTGGACAATGAGAGCCTCCTGGCTCCGTGCCCCGCACTGCAGGGCTCGCTCTGAACCCAGTCCCTGCGCTGGCTGACAGCCAGCCCGTCTCTCCGCTGGTAACAACAACTACCGAGTAACTCCTTCGTTGCCCTAGCCCAGTGGTCGGCAAACTCATTAGTCAACAGAGCCAAATATCAACAGTACAACGATTGACATTTCTTTTGAGAGCCAAATTTTTTAAACTTAAACTATATAGGTAGGTATGTTGTTATTAACTTCATTAGGGTACTCCTAAGGCTTAGGAAGAGCCACACTCAAGGGGCCAAAGAGCCGCATGTGGCTCGCGAGCCGCAGTTTGCCGACCACGGCTCTAGACACACGACCTCTAATCCAGCCCTGGTGGGCGGGTGTGATGGTTCTCATTTCATAGAGAAAAACCAAGGTGCACAGAGGTGACCCTGCTTGCCTACGGTCCTAGGATAGCAAGTGTGGGTCTGGGACTGCACCTCCGTCGGAGTCGAAGGCCCAGACGCCTGTCTCCACCCACCCCCGGCCCTGACTTCCCACGTCTCCTGTCACCTGGTCCCACCCCTGACACCAAAAGACCGCCCCCTCTTTGGTCACTGGGACTCATTTGGGAAAGTTCTTCCGGTCTCCCGCCGTTCCTTCCTCGGTCGCGACCACCCTGCCCCCAGCGCGCCCCCGCCCCCCGTGGAGCTCCTACACTGGGGGCTGGACGTGGTGCCCCAGCCAGAGATGAG